CGCCGCCGCCGCCGCCGCCGCCGCCGCCGCCACCACCGCCCGGCCAGCCTAATTTCTAGAACAAGGGTTTGTAACCAGTCTTTCTCTGTCGTCCCCCGCCCCCCAGCTCCCAAATAATGACACAAAGACTTCTTTTAATTATGAAAGCTCAGCCTATAGCTTAGGCTTGTTTCTAACTAGCTCTAATAACTCAGATTAACCCATTTCTGTTCATCTATGTGCTGCCATGTGACTCATGGCTGTTACCTCTCTTCCTGCTTGTTCTTCTGATCTCCTCAAGTCTCTGCCTTTCTTCTTCCCAGAGTCCTTTCTGTCCCTGGAAGTCCCGCCTGACCTCTTCCTGCCTAGCTATTGGCCATTCAGCTCTTTATTAAATCAATCAGAAGGCGCCTTGGCAAAGACACATCTTCACAGCGTAAACAAATATTCCACAACAAGGTTTTTTTTTTTTTTTTTTTTTTTAATGGAATGGTGATTTTAATCTGAAGATGTGATGGGAAAACAGAACCAGGGGCTGTGTGGGAACTGGAGCACAAGCCATAGTTCTGTGGTTCGTGTGACTGTATATACCACGGGATTGTCTCAGGATATTTAGACACTTCCTTCTGTCCCCTCACACAAGTCCCCAGCAATGTCACTATTGCAGCCAGACTGTCCCCATTCTCCAGCCTTACAAAATCAACACAGGGTTCTGCCCACTTCTGATTTTAGATCCACAAACCTCCAGACTTGGCAATTCATTTGAGCAACATGAAAATTAAACACTTGCTTTTAGCCACTTATAAATGTGGGCCAAACCTTGCCAACAAGGAAGTTGAATTTTGGAATTTTCTTTCCCTCTGTGCCCTTCACTGACCTAAACAACAACAACAACAAAAACCAAAAACTCCTGACACTCCCCACCCACACCAGTCCACAGAGGAGTATTGCTGGGCAAAGCTGTGGTATGACTGTGAATGAGCAATTGTTGTGGGACTTTAGTGTACTTCAAACCGTACCAAAGCAGCAAAAGGTCTAAATTGCAGAGAACATTGCGAGCCTTTTTAATCCCAGCACTCCGGAGGCAGAGGTAGATGGATCTCTGTGAGTTCAAGGCCAGTTTGGTCTAAAAGTGAGTTCTAGGACAGCCAGTGCTGTTACACAGGGAAACCCTGTCTCAAAAACAACAACAACAAAACCAACCAAACAACCAACCAAACAAACAAACAAACAACGAACACTGCATGCAATTTAGAAACCGAAAAACCATGCTTGTAACTGTCAAATGAAGGATAGTCTTTTCTCCCCCCAACACAAACATATATTAATTAATGCTAAAACTAAAAGCAGTAAGTTCTCCTAAACCCAGAACATGAAATCAACTATTTCCAGCATAATGGTATCAGCAATTGCCTGAAGGATCTGCACTCTGTTTATTTCCACTTCCTTTATGAAGACCATTGAAGTTTTCTAATACCAACGCTCTTGAATAGACATCCTTCACTCTATGTGACTGCGGCCTTTGGGGGATTACATTACAGCACGTGTGGTGGTCATGTTGTTGAAGTCCTGTGTGTAGAGGGCTTCCTCCCCAGGCCATTTCATCCCTACCACAGGAAGCTAGGGAGGATAAACACCGCTAACTCCATTTCTTTGGAGGAGTTGAGAGATGTGGACATCTTTGGCTATCCAGATGGAAGGAGGAGGAATCTGACCCTGTGCCTCCTGTGCCCAGAACTTCATATCAGAAATCTTTAGCTTAACTACACAACTACAGGACGATGCATTTATGTCCAGCCCGAGCGGAAAATTGGGGTAGACTTTTTTTTTTTTAAATCTCAGCCAAGAGTCTACTTTGTTTTCACCAGATTTTTTTTACTAGCAGGCATTATAGATGGAGTCAGGTAACTACATGAGTTCATACCCATCAGGAATCTCAACCAGTGTTATCCCATTCAGTTTTATTGCTCACCATATATTTTTGTGGTGAGAAAACAAACTAGAAATCCCCCTGAAACCACGCTCATAAGTTCTCTTTGTGAGTTTGCCGGTGTGGCCAGGAAGAAGGGACAAATGAAAGGAGGCCAGTGATGTCACCTGGGAAATCTGCTCGGATTTTGTGACAGCACTAATTTGCTCTCCAGTGTTTGTGAACAGTTTCTGCCCAAACCAAACAAGCAAGTTTACAGAATTCCCTCTCATCTAACTTGGTCATTAAAGTCTTTCACCAATGGCTAGATGCCGCTGGAGGGCAGGCTATAAACCACCCCAACTACGGCTGTGTCAAAAAAACAAAAACAAAAACAAAACCCCAAGTCCTTAGCAAGTGGCTGTTGGAAGTGTCACACAAATGGACTTGTTAATTGTTTTGGTTTAGTTGGCCACGAGAGTACAGAGTTTTGAATCAAGAGACTTTGGTTTGAATTTCTTTACCCTTTTATGCTGTGTGGCTTTGGGCTGTCCAAGTTTAAAATGGGGAAAACCACTCTGGCTTGCCAAAAAAAAAAAAAAAGGATGCTGACATTAGCATCTTCAGAAAGGTTTAGAGACTGAAAAATGTAGGGTTGGCTGGGGTGGGGTACACTGTTAATCCCAGAACTCAGGAGGCAGAGACAGGTGGAGCTCTGTGAGTTTGTTTCAAATCAGCTAGGGTTAGATTAGACCCTGTTTTTAAGAGAGAGAGAGAGAGAGAGAGAGAGAGAGAGAGAGAGAGAGAGAGAGAGAGAGGAAGAAAGAGGGGAAATACAAAAGTGGGAGGTGGGGGCAGCTGGAGCCATGGTTCAGTGGTAAAGAGCACTTGTTCTTGCATAGGACTCAAGCTCAGTTCCTAGCACCTACACAGCAGCTCACAACCATCAGTAACTCTAGTTTCTGGTAATCCAGCGCCCTCCTCTGGCCTCCAAGGGTACTGCATGCTTGTGGTGCACATACACACATGCAGGCAAAACCCGAATACACATAAAATAAAAACAAATAAGTCTTTACAAGAGAAAAGAAGAATGCAGAATTCATTTATTGTTTTTGAATCCTCCATAGAGAATGTTATATCTGCATTTCATTCTCTAATTCAAGGGCACAGCAGAATACATGGATATTTTAAGTATAACCCTACTTGAATAGACAGTGGGATTTATAGAACAACCTCTACTTCAGATCAAGACAAGCATGTATAAATAGAAGTTGGCCAGGAGCTATTTGGTTTGTTTTTCAGAGCATTGCTAGCCTCATGCCCACCAATACCTGCTTTCTAAGCACACCCTTCCTTGCTTCAAAGGGGGAAAGCTTCCTGATTCACAGGCCCACTGGGCCTTCTAATTCACAGGGTGCCAGCTCTTTCCCAGGCTCAGAGGGGAAAGGAGGAAGCAGATTGTACAAGAGTGGAAGGGGAAATACACACCAGACCAGTTAGTTTGGGGAACCTGGATAGATGATGTGTGTTTGCACCCCAGCCTAGACTTCACCTGGCGGGAACACAAGGACAGATGATATTTTATGAGACAGAAATGTTGAATTTTGGGTTGAAGCCTTGTACTAGTTTTTATTTCCTAGGATTCCACTTTCTGTATACCAGCAGGACCCAGGCACAGTTGTAGGCTGGAATCACCTGGTAGTGTGTGGTATTCATCCCAGCACTTGTGTGGACTCCAGGTCCCACCCCAAAGATGTAGAGGCTCAAATGTCTAGTTGGGATGGGAGCCACTGATGTGCACCAGCCTGGTGTTTATTAAGAATGAGTTCTCCAGGCTGGAGGGATGGCTCTGTGGTTAAGGACATGTACTCTTCATGCACAGGACCCAAGTTCAATTCCCGTTCCCAGCACCCACATGGGAGGATGAGAGAGGACGCTCACAACCTGTACCTCTGGCTTCAGGGAAGTCTGACACCCTCATGTGGGCTCTGAGGGTACTGCACACACATGGCACACACACACACACACACACACACACACACACAAGCATGGACATATGCATGGGGGAAAGGAAGAAGGGAGGGTCAGGAGTCTGAAGAATTCCATCAGGGAAGTATCACACCTTGAATAATCTTAATGTATGGTTTCAGGAAGACACACCTAAGAGATTCTCGTTCTCCCTGAAGTTTGAACTTTTGAATTGCTTCTGGGTCTAATAAACTCAGAGCCAGGAGCCGAGAGAGTGTCTCGAGACTATCCCCACACTCGTTTCAAACGAACGGTACCTTATTGGTTCCTTCTATGACCATCATGCGCTGAGTGATGCTCTCAATTCTGTTTCCCACGTTGCTGTCAGGATCCAAGATGAAGGACTCTTCACTCTCGGAACACAAGTCATACCTATAAAAAAGAGGAAGTCATCACCACGCTGCCTTCAGCACAGAACAATGAGCCACAATGAGGGAGACGGGGAAAAGTCCTTAGGGAGAAGGCCACAGACTTTGAGAGAGTCTTTGTCTGAAGCCCTTTCCTCATATTTAGGAACTAAAAATAGCAACCATATCTACCTAGTAGGGAGACTCTCCAAAAGCGTGCTACCATACATCTTTCCTGATCTAAATAGTAAAGAAAATACATGTTGGGATATCTGATGCCTGGGTTTTAGTTAGCTCCTCGTGGGCGGAAGTAACATGCAAATGTGTGTGGGGTGATGGTGGTGTGGGGTGTCACATTAATGAATGGAGACCCTGAGATAATAGTGGCTTGTCACATCTATCTATGCAGGGTGGCTGTAAGTCATAATATTTAGTGAGATAATGCCCCCCCCCCCAGAGCTAAGTAAGTATCCATGGAAACAAACATTTTGGAGTCATTGATTTAATTTAGTTAATTTCTCTCCAAGTTTGGTGTTATCAGAGCAAGGTCTTAACTTCTTGGGCTTCAAGTGTTTAATTAGCAAAGGAAAGTGGTAACAGCGTTGATTTTTAAAGTCTGTGACTCTCTTTTAATTTTTAAAATAAGGTTTATCTATTTTTAGTTTACGTGGATTGGTGTTTTACCTGCGTGGGTCTGTGTAACATGCGTGTGCCTGTGCCCGTGGAGGCCAGAAGAGGGCATCAGATCCCTGGAGCCAGAGCTGTGGATGGTTATAGGTGTTGGGCATTGAACCCAGGTCCTGGGCAAGAGCAGCCAGTGCTCTCAACCGCTGAGAAATTTCTCCAGCTCCCTTCCCCGCTTTTTAAGCATTTTATTGTCTTGTACTCTTACCACCAGCTGGTCTAGAACTTTTGGTGAGCAGAAGGCTTGCTGGTCACAATTTGAACAGGACTTGGGCAGAAGGACGAGGAGGAGTTTAAAACCCATTTCTAGAAGGCATGAGTGGGGTCCTGAGCAGCCCAGAGCAGTGATGACGTAGGTGGGAACAAAGCGAGTGAGAGAGACAGGGCCAGAGAGGGCAGGAGATCTGTCAGGGGTCTTGCTCTGGGAAGTTCTCCAGGCTAATGTCTGTGGGCTTAGGCTCTCCCGCTTCCCTTATATGACCCGGGATAGTCTCCTGCTCCTGAGTCCCCAGCCTATCCCACCACTACATAAAGATACGGATGTGTGTGTGTGTGTGTGTGTGTGTGTGTGTGTGTGTGTGTGTGTGTGTGTCT